TAACCACTAGATCTGTTGCTGGTCATGGGAGGTCACAAGTAGGATAATTATTGAAGAGAGATCTTTTTCTTTTGTGATTCTTATAATTTGATTTTCTTTTTTGGGGAGTGTGATCATTTCATAAAAGGTGATTCTTCTTCTATTTAGGAAGAAAGGGTCCCTTTATTGTTTAGATTTGTTTCTATGCTCATATGCGTTACTTTCCTAACCTAGGTATTTCTCCGATGTGTATAAAGAGACCTTTGCAGTTTCAACTGCCTGCAGTCACCAGAGGTTAATATCTATATCATCTCAGGCCAGTGATTTGCTTTCTTTCTAGAGTTGTATAATTTTCAAAACCTGTTTATTTATTTTATTTTTATTTTTATGGGAGAGTTCAAATATACACAAAAGTGAAGAGATAGTTACAGGGAGCTTTCATGTGCTCAGTTTCAACAGTTTTTAACTCATGGCCAATCTTGTTTTATCCATACCAGATTTTTTAACCTTTATATTACTAACATTTTGGGCTGGAAAATTCTTTGTTGTGGGAGAGTGTCCAGAGCCTTCTAGGATATTTAGCAGTATCCTTGGCCTCTACCAATCAGATGCCTGTCAACCCCTCCTCCCCACCGCGTTGTGGTTATGACAACCAAAAATGTCCCCTGGAAGGCAAATCATCCCCAGTTGAGAGTCACTGATTTATACTCACGCCACTCTCCCCATCCCTTCAAGATTATTTGGAAGGAGATTCCATATATCAAATCAACCCATTTTGGGATGTATTTCTATAATACAATGCCTCCCATTTTGTTGGCTCTTAGGAAAAAAGCAAAGATCTAAGTCTGTTCCTATATGAGTTGTCATGGCAGCCAGCCAGTTTTGGCCATGGAAATAGTCATAGTTTCTATCAGCTGCTATTGTTGACATGAGCTAGCAAACACAAAGAAATTGGTGTCATAGTCTAGTCTGTACTTTTTAATTGTGGTAAAATATGCATAATATACAATTTTCCATTTTAACCATTTTTAAGCATACAGTACAGTTCAGTGGCATTAAGTATATTCACATGGTTGTGTAGCCACCACCATCCATCTCCAGAACTCTTTTCATCTTGCAAAATTGAAACTTTGCACCTATTAAATAATAATCCCATTTACTTCACCATGCAGTCTCTGGCAACCACCATTCTGCTTTCAGTCTCTGTGAATTCAACTATTCTAGGTACCTCATATTAGTGGAATCATACACACTGTTTGTCCTTTTGTGACTGGCTTGTTTCACGTAGCATAGTATCCTCAAGGTTCAACTATGTTGTAGCATGTCAGGATTTCACTCATTTTAAAGTTGAATAATATTCCATTGTATATATATATGCCAAATTTTGTTTATCCACATCCGTTGATGGACATTTGTGTTGCTTACACGTTTGGCTATTGTGAATAATGCTGCTGTGAACATGAGTGGACAAATATTTCTTCTACATCCTGCTTTCCATTCTTTGTATATTTAAAATTTGTTTTCCCCCTCTTTATTCCCATCCCCCCCTTCCACCCCTGACCTATGAAAGTTGCCATTTCCCCTTAAGAACTGGATCTCTGAAGGCGGGGCATCTCCTCCCACACACTCATGGTGTGCACCTGGGGCCTGGCGCACCTGGGGTATGGTCCATGGCTCCACTTGGGTCGCGAACCCAGGACCTTATGTGTGTAAAGCAGACGTGCTAACCACCACACTATGGAGTCGTCCCCTATTTTAAATTTTTTGAAGATCTGCCATACTGTTTTTCACAGCAGCTGTACCATTTTACATCCCCACCGGCAGTGTACAAGGGTTCTAATTTCTCTACACCCTTGCCAACACTTATTATTTTGTTTAAACAATAGCCATTCTAATGGGTGTGAAGTGGTATCTAATTATGGTTCAGCCTGTACCCTTTAAGATTGATCATTGAAAAGCAATTCCGATAGAACCCTCCTGTTAGGCCTAAGTGGTGCTGTTGTGTGTTTCCACTTTTGCTGTGGAACATTGAGCTAGCCATCCATGACTCACTTCTGGGAAGAGAGTGGGGGCGTAAGTTGTGTCTGTGTGTAGGGGGAAGCTTTTAATCCATAATAAAGTTTTCATTTGGGTATTTACCATTAACAGTTAAGGGAAAGAATTTGGGTTAGATACAGAATCAGAGGCCATTAGAGTTGGAAGAGACATTGGGGACCAGTTCTCCCAAATACACATTTTTTGCGGGGGTGGGGGAAAGAAAGGAATTGAAACCCAAAGCATGTAAGTCTCCTCTTCTTGACTTGAGGGTAGTGACAGTGTCTTGCTCACTGTCCCCAGTATCTGGCATATAGAGTTAACCAGTAAATGTTTGTGGAATTAATCAATGAATCATCTAAGGCTGCCCAGGTGACATCTATCTTAGTGTCAGAACTAGGGCATTGAGTTGGCTACACATTATGTTATGGTGACTAAAAAATGGCTGATGGCTTCAGCAACCCAGTGAGTCTTCTTTTCCTTTCTCAGTCTCTTGGGTGACAATCTATGATAAGGCTCTGTCTTCCTTGGAGGTAGATTTAAAGGGGTCTTATAGAAGATAAACCCAGTTCAGGAAATGGCCAGCAGCCTGAGGAGGCCTGTGCTGGCTGAGTGATGTCCTTCAGGCCTTTCTCCACCTAAATCTTTTCCTTCTCATCCCATCCCTAAAGCTTTCACAGTCCAATACCCCTGTCCTTTATTCGTGTTTTCATTCTGGGAAAGCTCAGTTCCTCCTGGATACCTCTCTAGGCCTCTGTCTTTTAATTTCCAAACCAGGAGGTCTCCATCTTGCCTGCATATTAGAATCACCTGAATGCTTTGAAAAGTTCTAATGCCAGACCAATTAAATCAGAACAGTTGGGGATAGGACTCAGGCAGCAGTATTTTGAGTGTTTTTAACTACCCTCTCAATCTTTACCTATTTCAACAGTTTTCCTTATTGTCTGCCTGAGTCTCATCCCTCCTTAACCATGAAACTCTTGTCATTTACTTCGGATCTAAAGGGCATATAATGTAATAAGTTCACACAATATTAATGTTAATTTACAATTCCTTGTAAGTTATTTGTATTCTTTCCCCAGTTAGATCATAAGCTCCTGAAGGCAGGGACATACCTTCTCTTTCCTCTATCCCAGTGGATCTCAAACTTGAGTGTGCATCACAGTTAGTTGGGGGGCCTCTTAAAACAGATCGCTGGACCTACCGTGGGGGTGTCTAATTTAGTAGGTCTTGCGTGGGGCCTGAGAATTTGCAATTCTAAATAGTTTCCAGGTGGTGCTGTTGCTGATAGTCCAGGGACTACACTCTGCTGTATCTTCAGGTTCTGGGATGCTCAGTAATTACTGGGCGACCAAAAAGAATGGAGCAAATTTCCCTTTGGTTCTCTCCTGAGTAACTAATTTCCACTGTGGTTGCAGTCTGGACCCTGAGTTGAAAGAATGAAAGAACGTGTTAATGATCACCTACAGATGATCACAACTTTGACTTTCCAGTTGCCAATTTCTTTATATTTTGAACCTTGCTAAGATGGTTATTTTTCTGTGTGTGTGTGTGTGTGTGTGTGTGTGTGTGTGTGTGTGTGTGTGTGTGTGGTGTTGGTTGTGTATTTAGGCTGTATAAAAAGATATGACCAAATCACGCAGGATGGGATCACAGCTCACCTCTCCTATGCCTTTCAGGGTATAAAGTGAGGGTGGGCAGTAGTGGGGATACATTTTTGAAAAGACTGGTGAAGAATGATCTCCAAATAGAGGAGAGATAGCACGGTCAATTTTTAAAAGCAAAGCAAAAAATACTCTGAAAGTGTTATTTTTTATATAAATTATAAGGGATCCAAACGATTTTTTTTTAATTGGGAAACCAAAATGATCTCAGAGAGAGCTGGTGCCTGCTACTTGTGAGTGCTACCTGTGAGCCGAGCCCTCATGAAGTTTTGCTAAGAGCTACATCTTTTTGTAGCGTGAAACACTGCCGAGGCTGAAGTTGAGGGTCTATTCAGATATTTATATCCTCAATCCCTTCTCATTTAAGGGTCCTCTAAAAACAAATTGATAATGAGGTTTTCGTTCTGAATATTCTGAAAAGATTACACTGCTTTCCCAGTTTTCATTAACAGTTAAACCACTTAATGTATTTTGATTTTGTGTTAAATCAGTCTTTCCTATGAGTGTCAGGGAATTATGTTTTCTTTTGGATAAAACATTTTCGAGAGATAGATCACTGCAATTTTTCTAAGGAAATTTGGTGCTTGCTTTCCATAATTGAACAGTGTTGGAACTGAAAGTTTAATGCAGGGCTGTTTCCTTTTTTGTGTCAAACCTTGAATTTGAGCAATGCTCTTGTTTATTTGCTGTTAATTTAAAATGAGAAAAATTAGAGTCAGAAAACAGCTGATTACTTTGGAGAAGCATTTGATTTCTTAGGTACTAGATGAGGGAAGCCTCTTTGATTTGATTCATTTGCATCTCTGAATACATTCTTTATCTAAGGATAGTGCTGGAGGGGAAAGGAGGAAGAGACCTAGCAAACTGACCTCACAGTCTGCTAAGGGCTTTACATTAATAAGTCTCCTTTTTGTGTGTGGGAAAGCAAACTTGGCTAGTATTAAAAGATTGGAAAAGAAACTAAAGAGATATGGCAGGTTCTGCTCCAGACCGCCATAATAAAGTGAGTAAAGGGAGTAAAGGGAGGCATAATCTTTTAGCTGGTGAGGGGTCTTGCCTTCAGTTAGCAAAAATTGCGACACCTGTGAAACACCATAAAATGAGGTATGCCTCTCTGTTGGGTTCCTCACTTCTTATACCAGTTGAGGAGGGCACGGGTTCTCTTTTCAGTCCTTCACTTCCCCAAACAAACACTCCACTGTGGAAGAATCCAAATCCAAGCCTGAGATGCACCTTGATGTGGAAATCTGAAAAGAGTCGTGACCATTCTCACAAGGCCAAAAGAGTAAAGGTTTTCTTTCTTTTTTCCCCACCCCCGTACAGGTGAATTTTGTGGCATGCCAGCTCGTTGCTTTGTTTGCCGCTTTCTGGTTTCGTATCTACTTAAGTCCTGGTAAAACCAGTCCCGAGGCCCGGCATGCATTTGCCACCATTTTTGGCATCTATTTTGTCATCTTCTGTTTTGGATGGTGAGTATGAGCTTCATAAATTCTAATATTTATCATCGGGGTGTTTCGTAGCAATGTTCTCGGCATTTGCCAGGTACTAAGGAAAGAAATATATCTTTACTCTTATTGTGAAATAATGGAGATTTATTACAGAAGTTTCCATTTACTCTAAGAACCTGGAATTAATAAACTCGACTCCCCACTGAAAGTCAATTTGGTGAATTTTTCTTAAAGTTAAGACTTCCGATTTTTCCTTAGTCATGTAAATGGATTTTTTTAAGGTTTAATTTCCCGACAAGGAACCTTTCCTAACTATTGTAGATATCAGTGTTTTTCTTGCACTGTTGTTGGAGATATTGGTGTTAGTCCTGCTTTTAGAGTAGAATGGTTTTAGTGCTGGTCTTAGGGAGTGCGAATCATTCTTTAAGAAAGCCTGTAGATTAGATAAACTGCCACTGCCAGACAAATACCCTGGCAGTGGCAGTTCTTGGGGAAGAAGCTTTAAGAACCAACATTTCTAGAATTATACCTAAAGGAAATTTGTGAATTTGTTCGGGGCACTAGAATACTGCTCCTCCAGTTTCAACAAAAAATTTGAGAAAGATGGATGGGTATTTGAATTAGCCACCAAGATAGGTAAAAGTCTTGGTGTCAGGGGCTGCTCAGTTTTGGTCCTGGTACTTTAACATAAAAACAAAAATCTTGAAGAAAGAACTCTTCTTCAGACTCTCAATTGTATATGTGGGGCGGGGGGGAGTGTAAGCATCCCATTTATGGATTCCTGACATTGCTAGTGCTACAAGTTGGCAGACCTTGTCATGACTTCCTAGTATCATTTCATAATAGAGTTCTTAATTCCACAGAACAAAAATACTTGATTTTTTTCTCTTACATAAACACGTGTTAAGTGATTGCTTGCTTTTTGATGGGGTGGAGGTGCAGTAGCAGTATGGGTAGCCAGTAGGTATGCTAATATGAAATATATTCACTGTTCTCCCTCCCGCCCCTGCAATGTCTTAAAGGTACTCTGTACACCTGTTTGTGCTGGTGTTAATGTGCTATGGAATCATGGTCACTGCAAGCATATCCAATATTCACAGGTAAGACCCTGGGAATGAATAGTGCAAGGTGAGGTTGGTTATTCATGATCTTTGACATGTATTTACAGGGTAAAGGGTACCTTCCCTATTTGCCAGATGTGCATACCCCAGGTTCCCTTAAATATAAGAAGGATAGCTTGGGGGCCCTAAATGCTGGGATTCTTCAGAGAAATCTTTATGAAAAAGGGTAGGATGCAAGTGGAGCCTCAGGGGAAAGAGAGAATATCAGAATTCGGCAGCTCTATTTGTGATAGCCCCACGCTGGAAACAACTCAAATGTTCACTACTGTGGAGTACTACTCAGCAATAAAAAGGAATGAATGAATGATCTACACAATGACATCGATGAATCTCAAATAAATATGCTGAGTGAAAGAAGCCACACAGATTCTATTCTTGAAAAGACAAACTAATCTATGGTGACAGAAATCAGATCAGAGGTTTCTAGTGCTGGGGTGGTGCATGGAAAGGTAACAGGGATCCCAAAGAGGCATGGAGAAACTTAGGAGATGATAGATGTGTATGTCTGTTATCTTGAATTTGGCTGGGCTGTGGTGTGTGTGTGTGTGTGTGTGTGTGTGTGTGTGTGTGTGTGTGTGTGTGTGTGTTAGAGAACTTTATATGCTTTAGGTACACTGAAACCTAAGGAAGAAATATTTCTACAATATTTTCATTTCAAAGTACAGAAGTAATTTCATTCTACCTTTAAGGCTACCTATTTAGATCATCAAGTAAGATACCTGGGATATGTTTCGTGTTGTGTCCATTTTCCATGGCATTTCTGAACCCTAAGTATTCCACCGTTCAGTAACACGGAGATGTAAACTCTGTGGAAACAAAGACCTTTCACTCTAGTTCACTGTTTTAGCCTCAGAGCCTGGAACAATACCTGGCACAAATAAAGGCTCAATAATTACTTATGGGTGAATGACTGAATATCTTTGAAAAGACATTTATCCTTTTATGACTTCTTTTCTGATGTTATCTCTGAAAAAGCAGATGACTTATTTTGGCTTCAGAGAGCTCTTTCATTATTAAGACTATTAGCACAATAGTTTTCCTTCTTAAAAGCATCGAAATTAAATTTTCAGTGTGTCATAATTACTGCAGATAAATTTCTGATTTTCAAGGGAAAATATTTTTGCATGCTTTGAAATTTGGTAGTTATTCAACTTAGTATCCAAATGAGCTCTGAGAATTTGAATTCTAATCATCTCTCTTCTAAGTGCTCTCCTTGAAGGGGACCATGTCATTCAGAAGGGAAATAGGACATCCACATTTCTACTTGGGAAAGAATGGGTTTTGGAAATGCTTTCTTTTATGACAAAAATCCACCTCCCCCCCCTTTTTAACTGTGTGTATGTGTTGGTGGGGGCGGGGAGTAAAAATGGCTGGCTTTCCCCAAACTTGATTTTGGAAGCAGTGAAATGATTAATAGAAATGTTGCATCTCTCTAGCACATTTTCTTACAAATAATTTGTCAGCTCTCCCCATACTTGTGTGATGCTGATGGGGTGTGGTTCATTTTTCAGAGGGCGAAGGACTGACATGCACACTCATTCTGTGCCAGGCCCAGGATTGCTGTGTTAGTATCTGACTGGGAATGGAATACTCCAGCCTTGGCAGAGCTGAATAGTTTACAGGCAGACAATAATATTGTGGTAGCAGAGAGCCTTGTCATAAGACCAAAAAGAAAGGACGCCAGAGCAAGTTTTTCCCCTCTTTTTTAGCTTGTGTGGTTGCAAAAGTAGGGAGTGGTTCTGTTCCCAGTGGATGGAGGTTGTCTCTTGTTGATGCAGGAAAGAACAACCAGGAGTAAAGAAATCTGCCTCTACCTGTGTGAATTCAGAATTCAGACGAGTCACAGCTTCTTTGTATATCAGGTTTCCCACCTCTCAAATGTGGTATTTGTGGTAGTTTGAACTTAAGTTCTTTTCAAGACCAGGACTTCATGAATCTTTGTGAGTTCTCTTCCCTTCACTGAGCCAGTTATGAGGGTCCTGTCATATGGCTGGGAAGAGGAGGGGAAGGTTAGTATTTGCTGCCATGTGGCACTAACCCATTTTTGGACTGACCATTGTTATTCAAGATTGGTCTAGAGTCTTTGGGGCACCAACTGTTTCCTTCTCAAGCCCCTATGCTGGGCAGACACAACAGGCATTCATTTACCATAAATTAGCCAAATGGAACAGAATATAGTTCGTATCTCTTAGGGCAGAAGGCCTTGTATGAGAACTTGGTGATGCAGTCACCAATTTTGGAGTGTCTGTTTTGTGCCCAGTGCCAGGCCAACCTCTTTAGAATATATTTCATTATTTTAAATATATAAACTTATTTAGTATATCATTTAATATATTGTTACTGTTGCAAATATATTCTTTTTAGGACAACTCAGTGGGATAGATTTTTTTTTTTTTTCTGAGATGAGGACATGAAAGCTCAGAGAGGTAAATAAGTATCCAGTTGGATGAATTTTCACAAAGTGAATACACACATGTGCCCACCACCCAGGTCAGTAAAGGGACTATTACCGTTACAAATGTCCCACTCTCTACCACAGCCCTCCTTCCTAAAATCCCAATTTTTCACACTGCAGATTAGTTTCACTAGTGCTGAGACTTGAACTCATGCTGGTCTGTCTCCAGAATACATGTTCTACTACTTCTGGATTCCTTAGATTCTTCAGATTTGTCCAGGGCATGAATGCATTGCCCTATTGCATTGGGACGTAGTACTTGGCACCATCCTTGATGGGTGGATCATGTTATAACAAATGAATTGAACTTACTTTTCTCTCTGGGTGGGGTAGGGGAGGGGAAGGTATGAGTCTAGCTCCTATTAAAACAGAAGCAGTAGCAGGTATGGCTGCATTTGAAATGGTCCTGGAAGAATCTGTCTTTTGACTGGTTTGTGCTTCTGCTTTGACCCTCATGAACCGGCTGGAGAAAGGGAATAGGTGCTGGAGGCAAAACAGCCTGACTCCATTCTGCTTAGCTGTTGAGGGAGTTGTTTTTTTCTTAGCCATTTGCTTTGTTCACCATATTCCATTTGAGAAGGGTTAAGGATGAACTCAGGATATGGAAAAATCTGTTGTGTAGTAACGTCTTTGTTTGCAAATATTGGTAAAGAGAACTAAAGTTATATAGTGCTTTAGAGCTTACAGAACTCCTTCGCACTCATCATCTGGCTCTCTCTTGTTACTTAAATAAATTTTTATTATCTACATTATTTACTGTTTCTTAGGTTGATCTAGTCTTCATGAGTTGTTTTAATGTGAATTTGCGAATTTCAACATAATTTAATATCAATACATATCTTTCCTGTTTTATGACATATGCTTAAAAGTTATACTTTCTGAATGCATGTTTCTGATGGGCTCTTGAACCATTGAAAATGCTTAATGTAGTCATTTCAGTTCATTTCAACTAATAGTAGTGAACCCCTCCTGTGTGTCCGGTCAAGTGTTGGGATGCCCAAGGTCACAGTGAGTGGGGAAACATATATACACACACACACACACACACACATGTATGTATGTATGTATATGTGTGTGTGTGTGTATATATCTGTATATATATACACACATATATAAAAGTGTGTGTGTGTGTATATATATATATATATACATGTGTGTACACACACACACACACACACACACACACACACACACACACATTTTAGTAATAATTATATATGCTAGTATGTAGCCCTAGAGAAATACAGGCACTGGAGCAATGAATTTTGCTGGGAGTGGGGGGTGGGGTATCTGGAGCAAGACCAAGCCAGATGACATTGCAGCCGCCTTATCTGGCAATTAGGCAGCTCTCAGATAGATTCTGGAATGGTGAAAGGAGTTGTAGGCAGAGGAAGGAGCTTGCAGAAAGACATCTGGCCTGAAAACGTGGGCAGTTCTGTGTAGTTGAAACATAAGGTGCATGTGGAGTGTGGCTGGAGGTGAGGCCAGAAGGGTGAGGTAGAGCTTAATGTGGGAAGCACCTTGCATGCTGTGTTTAGCACTTTGCATGATGTGACTAGATAGTGGGATCCATTGGAGACTTTTGAGACAAATAACATTTATTTAGTTTTGTTCATTCGACACACAGGAGGTGGCTATGGTAAAACACGCGTGACTATCCTTGCCTTCGTGGAACTTTCAGTCTAGCAAAGGAGACAGTGGTTAATCAGATTATCACATATCTTTATAATTACAAATTGATCAATGTTCTGAATGACGTGTGTGTGGGTGTGTATGTATATGTGTGTGTACATGTATATGTACATATATTGCTCGTTTATACTATAGGCTGGTCAGGGTGGTCTGTGAAGGAAGGTAGGGAGTAGTGATAATGGAGTAGGTGATAATTGAAGCCTCAGGCATGGACAAGGAGGGTCCTGGACAGACCACTGGGAAAGCCAGCTCCAGGAGGTGGAGGAAGATATGCTGTGCTGGAGCCTTGGAAGAATTAACTAGAGAAGTGGGAAGAAAAAAAAGAATGGAAGCCAAGAGAACAAAATGTTTCAGGAAGGGAGTGGTTGGCACATGATGATGACTTGCATTTATGAAGATCATCCTGTAAACACGGTTTATGAAGAGAATCTGAGGGCAAGACCTTATAGGTTGGTGGTTCCCAACTCTGGCAGCACATTGGAATTACATCTGCCGGGTTCACCCTGTACCAATTAAACCTGAATATCTGGGAGTGGGGCCCAGACATCTGTAGTTTGTAATGATCCCCAGGTGATTCCATTCTGCCAAAGCTAAGAACTACTGCAGTGGTTCAGGTGAGGAGATGAACGGCTCAGAGCAGCTGGTGGGAAGGTGAGGCGAGGGCTGGATTAGGCTGTACGTAGACCAGACAGGACTTTGTGAGGGAGTGAGGGAGGGGAAGTAGACAAAATTGAGTGTATTGTCATGCATAATAATCTGATCCCCTGTGTTTTTGCTTTCAGATACTCCTTTTTTGTAGCAATGGGATACCTTACGATATGCCACATTAGCAGAATATACATCTTTCACTATGGAATTCTCACTACAGATTTTTCTGGGTGAGTATCTTAATGTGTGTGTGTGTGCGGGGGAAGAGGGGGTGGCGGGTCTGGCTGCCAGCATTGATGCATTCTCTTGGGGTCTGTAAAGATCAAGTGTGCACATCAGAATCATGGGTAGCTGTTTAAATCAGTTGGTGAGACTGTGGTAATGAGGTTAAGGGTGAAGATTTGATTGCTGTCTAGGACTGTGTTATGAGCTTTGCTGTGTTAGGCAGGGTAGCAAACTACAGCTTGTGAGCCGTATTTCTTCTACCACTTGTTTTTGTAGTTACATTGCAACACAACCAGGTACTTATTTATCTGTGTTCTCTGGCTGTTTTTACACGACAGCGGCAGAGTGATTGTGAACAGAAACCATATGACCTGTGCAAAGCCTAAAATATTTACTATCTTGCTCTTTAAAGAAAAAGTTTGCTGACCCCTATTCTAAGGTCCTTATACAGGGCTGGTGTTTATCTTTTACTAGTTAATAATACAGAAATTATTCCATCCTAGCTGCTACCCCACTCTCTCGAGTGCCTCCTGGCTGCTCTCCCTGCATCTGCGAGACTCCCAGTGACTGGAAGGTGATGCCTGGCACAGTGGGGGGTCTCGGTACTAGTTGTAAACATGTTCTCTGTCACCAGGCCTTAACCTAATGGGCCAGCCTTTCCCTGATTGGTCACCTTGGTGAAGACTGTGGATGGATCAGTGAAAATTCTGTCTTGTTGATGTTTGTTCAATAACAACTTTTCATGAGTCTTGAGGAATGGATACTAAAGCAGAGTTTTTCCTCATAACACATTGTATATTATCCACATTACTTTCTTAAGAGTTCTGTTCTGTTCTCCAGGGTCAGGGAGAACCTGACTTCTCCCCTCGGGTTGAACTGCATTTCATTGGAATCTTGAGGAATGGATACTAAAGCAGAGTTATTCCTCATAACACATTGTATATTATCCACTTTCTTAAGAGTTCTGTTCTCCAGGGTCAGGGAGAACCCGACTTCTCCCCTCGGGTTGAACTGCATTTCATTGGATGAGTTATTGGAGAATTGGCAGTAAAAAACAGAGTTTACACCTCACAGCTCATTTCTGTGAACTTTGCAAGTTGTGGAAGGCAAGAGAATGTTGCTCTGGGACACAAAGACTGTTGCATCAAAATTCCCATGACCATGGTTTGGCCTCAGACTGGCTTTTCCTGTATCTGTTCTTCTTACCTTCAGGCCTCTGGATGTTACTTATTCCTCTTTGGGTTGTTTCTTTTCTACATTCCTTTCCCCTAGGTTGTGGAGCAGTTTTTCAATTTTTCTGAAATAAGTTCACAAACTTATTTTTTAATAATGTGTGTTGCTAGCAAAATATGACAAATATGGGCCCAACAGAGATAATAATATAGCTGGGAAGTTATAGCTTTAAAAGTAATTTAAATGATGATCATAACTTTATTTTTTGGGTTTCACCTCAGAGCCATGCCCTCCACCCCAATACTTAGTTCCTGGCATTAAATAGGTGTTCAATAAATGAATGAATTAAATACTTTAGTATTTCAGTTCTTTTTCAGTGTTTCTAGAAGCCTCAAACAGCTCCTCAGTCATAATTGGTTGGGATATTGAACAAAAAATGTTGACTTTAGCCCAAAGTAGATTATTACTTATTTCTCATCTATATCGTCTTTTCTTTTTAGGGCACAAAGTATATATTCATTCATTCATTTCTGCAACAATTTTTGAGTCCCCAGTATGGTAGGTACAATGCCAGGTGCCACAGACATTTAGGCAGGAGGAAAGATATTCAGGCAGAGGATACAGCTCTGCAAGAGCACAAGAATGTGAGACAGGTGCCTATGGAAGTCCCAGAAAGCACCCTCTCTTACCACCCACATCCTATGTCACCAGGTCCTATCAGGTCTGTAGGCTGGCTGTCACTATGCTCCATCCATTGCTACGTGTGCCCACTGCCACCACCCTGGACCACCACATGTCTGTAACCTTCCTAACTGGCCATCCTTCTTCCTACCCCTTTTCCAGCCTATGGTCTCTATACCAACCAGAATGAGGTTCTAAAATATCAAAAAAACTCCATCATGAGTTGGAGCTGCCTCATCTGTCTCCTCCTCCCACTCTGCACTGCAGATGGCGGCAATGCCAAAACATTGTGGTCCACACACATGCTAGGTTAGTCCATGTTTCTTTGCCTCTGCCTTATTCATTCCACTGATTAGAGGAGCATTTATCATCCTTGTCTAGGTGGAAATCTTTTACTTCATTTTCCAAGAGCCAGCTAAAAGATTACTGCTTTACAAAGCTTTCCCTGATTGCCACCACCCCCTTCCCAGTCCCCTTCCTCGACCTCCAGTTACTGCATTTAGGACTTTGCACTTGGCTTTCAATGGCTGGTGCTGCCAGCTGCCTTTAAATCATACTCACTGAGACCCTGGTGCATGGAGTGTTTGTAGTTGGCAGAAACGGGCACTTCTGCTTTCATCAATTCATTTGTATGCTTAACTAGTGTCGTATGTGTTTATTTCCAAACTTGTTTATTACAGTTTGTGTGTGTGTGTGTGTGTGTGTGTGTGTGTGTGTGTGTGTGTGTGTATATATTCTGATTATATATGAAAGGAGAGAAAATGGTTTCTCTGAATCTAAGTTGGGTCCTTTGGAAAGCCGCAAAACAAGTTAGTATATTAAAATTAATAGCTGTTGAATTAAATGTGGGTGAGAATGCTGAAAGGATGTGGGGGAGGATTATAAAAATTAAGTTTTGCACTTGGATCGTTTTGCAAGTAACTTTACTTTTACCTTCTCAGTTCATGTTAGAGGAAATGACTGGAGAGAGTGGATGGGGATTTATGTAAGAGAGATGCTATCATTCAGTAGATCCACACTCCAAGGCTTTGGTCTGGCATCCAAAGGTTCATTCATTCATCATTCAGCAGACATCGATTGAGAACCCTGTGTATTGACACAGTTAGAGGAGATAGGTGTGAGCAAAGACTGTAGAATGAATGTACAGTTATCTATTTCAAATTTATATAGAAAGTTCAGATGTAAGCATATCATCATGTACTGGTTTAATTAGTATTCCCCCGGAACCTCAGAATATGTCCCTGTTCAGAAATAGCATCTTTACAGATGTAACTAGATGAGGACACACTAGATTAAGGTGGACCCTAAATTCATTCTGACTGGTGTCTTTATAAGAAGACCATGAGAGATACAGACATAGAGGGAAGAAGGCCATGTAAAGATGGAGGCAGAGATGAGAGTTTTTGGCTACAAGCCAAGGAACTCCAGCGGTTGCTGTCAGCTAGGAAGTCAGGAAGAGGCACAGAACAAATCCTCCCTCAGCACCTCCAGAATGAACCAATTCTGCCAACACCTTGATTTCAGACTTCCAGCCTCTAGAACTGTGGGGCAGTAAGTTTCTGGTTTTAAGCTGCGTAGCTTGTGGTAATCTGTTATGGCAGCTCTAGGACACTAATACACATTGTTTCATGATTGTATATCTGTTGATGAGCTAACAACTGTCCCCTACTCCTGATCATGCAGAGTGAAGGTGCCTCTTTTGGTCACATCTCTCCCTGCTCTTGTCATACCTTCTCCATTGGTTTTATTAATAAAACCATAAACTTTTGAATGATTGTTACACCATTTTTAGTATAATCGCAATTGTGGAAAGTTACCAAAGAGAAAAATAAAGGGCATTTGTGGTTAATAGTAATGTTTGTGAACATGGTGGATTTGGGGTTTGACATTAGGGGACGATGGAAATTGGTTCCTGTCAACTTTACTTTCAGCAGCACAGTCATAAATTTCCTCAAGTGATGTTTGTTCTCTGGCATTTTTGGATCTCCTTGTGCTAAGAAATCTCTGATGTTACCCACAAAATGGTTGAATATTTGAACTAGAAAGGACACTGCTGTTAGGAAAAGCATACAAAAAAAAAATCTTCTACCTGTAAATTGCATGTGATTTAGTTCTGTAATTGCTGTGTGGTCATTTTGTACATTCTTAGAGGTATGTGTGGTTTTTTGTTTGTTTGTTTAAATTATAGGGCCTTATTAAGCAACATTTCCCTCTGCCACCATAAATGCACAGTGCCTCACTGAAGTCAGTCCATCTTCTTGGACAATGTCTGTTAACATAACTGGAGAGGTACATACAACCTGAAATTGGCAAGATGTTTTAAATTACAAATTTCAATTAAAGAGATTCTTTACCAGTTTGTTCTCATTACAAGCATATAAGCAACCACAGGTTCTCCTTCAGAATGGAATTTAACACTGCTGTTTATTTCAGGATAAAAATATTTAGGATTCTGTTGAAGAATAAAGTAGTATTCTGAAATTGAACCTAGTGTTTTAAAGCAGTCCGATGTGGTAGTTATTCTCTTTTGAGCATGCATGCAAACCTAAGTGCTAGCATATGTTATACACCTTTAGAATAAGAACACAGACAGGAATTGAATGGAGTGAGATTAGATTAGTGTTTATGTTAAACTATATATATATATATATATACACACACACGCACACACACACATGTTTTTAATTTGGGGGAACACAACTTTGTACTTTATTTTGGTGCTTAAATTTTTTTATGCAAGTAATCAAGTTTTCATGGGCTAGACTGGTGTTAATGATGAGGCTAACACAGAGATACATTTTTATTAGTGCTGCTAATACAATTTATATCAGTACATGTAGTGGTGAATGTCCTCCATGTTCTCTTTGTGAATGTGGACTATTAAAGATATTAGAACATGTACCGTTTTTCTGGAGGAAACTCAACAATTGCTTGTAATAAAGTTGGTACCTGATTCCTTTTAAGTTCGTGATACTGAACTGATTCTTTTTTTTTCTCACAGAGGGAGCAAATCAAGTCTCTTTTGAGGGGAGCAGCAAGAACTTTCCTTTTTGCAGTCTAGGCCAGATTCAGGCAGATAATTGCTCTCCCATCATGTTGGCAATTTGAGTTGCCCATGTGTTTTTGAAAACATTATGAAATGAGAACTCTT